CCTCCCCTTGCATTCCCCCCACTACAACTGTGATAGAGAACCCTACACCTCACCTGGGCAAAACAGTGAAGCTGGTCCTGGTGTTGTCAGTGAAGACAGCAGGACTGAGGACCTGAGAGCAGGAGAACTGGCCCTGCTCCTTGCTGCAGGCTGCACTGGGTGAGCTAGCTGAGCAGTCCTGGAGGGCTCGCCCAGGCATTGACAATGAAGGAAAGCTAGTGAGCTGACCAACCCAGCTACCACCCAGACCCAGATCCAGGGCTCTATGAGTTGTCCCATCCCTAGAGACCTGCCCTAGAGACTGTCTCAAAAAATAATGCACACACACACACACACAGAGAGAGAGAGAGAGAGAGAGAGAGAGAGAGAGAGAGAGAGAGAGAAGGAAGGAAGGAAGGAAGGAAGGAAGGAAGGAAGGAAGGAAGGAAGAACAAATAGCTCATTTTATGAAACTGGGTTTTACAGAACTAAGAATTTTCAAAGGATGATGTACAAAGGCTGAGAGACACAGAAATATTCAACATCCTTCATCATCAGGGAAATGTAAATCATAACAACTCTGAGACTCCATCTTATGCCTGTCACAACGGTTAAGACACAAATGGCACCTTCTGCTGGTGAGGATGTGGGGAAAGGTGTATTACTCATTGCTGGTGTATCAACTGGGACTAGATCCACCTCAAGATGCAGCTATGCCACTCTTAGACATAGCCCCCAAAGTCTCAATATTGTACTACAGAAACACTAGCTCGTCCATGTTTGTTGCTGCTCTATTCATAATAGCCAGCAATTTGAAACACCCTAGACTTGAGAGAGAACGTATGAAAGTTGGGTTGGTAGGGAGGTAAGGAGGGTGTGGGAGGAAATGGGGGAGAGTGAAGCAGCCTTAGTGTATACTGCAATTGGTCTCCCCCCAATTGAATTGGACTCCATATTCTCTGACATACAAACTGCACATGATTGGGCAAGTTTTTCCCCAATGCTGTAATTTTCTTATAAATTAAGGGCTATGCTTTTAAACAATCATTTAATCTGCCCCGCAAAATCAGTATGAGCTAAAATGAAAAATTATAAACAGAAAATATCTACCTGTTTTAGTTGTAACAACTAAAACTCCTTTTTCAAACTTTAAAAGCTTCATATGAGTATTCTCAGTAAAAAGTGTTGTTGGGATGGGGAGCTAGCACAATAATGCACCAGCATGCGGACCTGAATTCAATGTCTAAACCATTTGCAAAAAGCCAGACAGGCATAAGATAGGTGCATCCCTAGGGGTCCCTGGCTTGTCTAGTCTGCCGGGCGAGCACCAAATTCAGTAAGAAATCCTCTTGCCAAAAGATGGTGTCTAGCTCGTGGGGAACAACACCCCAGTTGTCCTGTCCTCCACATGCAGACATATGCACTTAAACATATATGATTCTCACAAAGTGAGAACATAACAATAAATACATCCAAAACTGTATTTTAAAAAATAGTAGGAACTGCTGAGATGGCTCTGTGGGTACATGTGCTTACTATACAAGCCATATGACCTGAGGATGATTCCTGGAACACAGTTAGATGTGGTGGCTCACATCTGTAATCTCACTGTGTAGCTCACAGTGAGATTCAAAGAGACAGGAGGATCACCCTGAAGCCTGGAGGTCAGCTAGTCTGGAGTACACAAAATGGCAGAAAAACAAAGAACATGTTTCATCAAGGTAGAAGATAAGAGTTGACTTTCAAAAGTTGTCTTGTGACCTCCACACACAGCTGTACTCATGCACATACACAATGTACACATGTGTGCACACGCACACATGAACAAGTAAATCTTACTTAATTTAGAAGTCTTAAGTTATATTTATGCATTTATTTCTAAGTCCATGTGTACCATAGCACATGGGTCCTGGAGGTGAAATTTAAATCATCAAGTTTGGTGGCCAGTATCTTTTACCCAATGAGCCATCTTACTGGCCTCACATTCCAAATAAATAAATAAATAAATAAATAAATAAATAAATAAATGAGTGAGCAAATGAATTTTAATAAGTATAATCAATAAGATCTTAGATGTAAATACTGAGGATATAATCTTGAGCTCTGGGAAAGATAAAAGAGTCGATGTATAGGATTACCTCTCTTGACTGCTGAAGGCTGTTCTTAGGCACCCTGAAGCCATGAACTGTGTCATCAAAGCACCTGATGGAGAAGAGGCAGCTATCTGTGGGTTTCACCTGGATACAAAGAAGTCAGAAAACAATGCTCAATCACTGGAAAACAAAGTCTCTGAAATTTTCCATCACAAAATGCAGCATATTAACACAATGTAACAATACTCAGTTGAACAATCTGAAAGTCAAGAAGGGATCATCATTGGCAGCTTATTCATGCCAATCTAGCCTTGGTCACTCCAGGAAAATACTCGTGGGTCACTGTGTTTGTATCGTTAGATTTTCTTTCCAGTAAATATAAATTAGCATGTATTTGAGCTGTACAACCCTCTACATAACAAAGCTCCAATTTCTTCATACCATTCTTGAATGAGTTTTTTCTTTCTAGAAAATGTTTGAGCTAAGT